AAAAAAAAAAAAAAAAAAAAAAAAAAAAACGAACATCGATGCTAAAAATGAGAGAGTTTGTGCACCCTCGAGCCCGTTCACAATGCAAACATAAACATGAGCGTGGCGTTAACATAAAAGTTAGGACTACCTCCATAAGCGGACTCGTTCACAATGCGTTCGCATAAGCATAACACGTAAGACGTTAACTTAGAAGCTTCAAGTTTCCGTGCTTATGCTTAAGTAAGACATAAGAAATGAACCAATCAGAGTACGTTATCTCAAAATCGAGAATCGAAAGAGGAGTCAAGTCGATAGAAGAACTAACGCCATGTGGGCCATGGAAACAGTCGATACCTCGAAATCGATTCTCACATCCAGCCAATAGTAAACTAGAATGAATAGCCACAGACGATAAAAACTCTTATTTTGCGTACGTTTATGTTAGACATTGTCAATACTTATGTTTATCTCTTATGTTAATGTTTATACGTTTATGCGTTATGCTTATATTTCCATTTCCATTGTGAATGGGCCCTAAAGCACTATCGATCTTCTGCGCCTGCGCAGTTCAAGTTTGGCATCACTTTAATGCATCTGCGCATGCGCAGAAGCTCAATAGTGTTGTCCTCTATGGCGAGCACAAATCCCTGTTAAAGCATCAACTCAAAACTATCAATGTTTTTAAACATCGATCTTTTTAAAAGTGGAACAATAACCACGCCGGAAGGGGCATTTAATTTGATAGTGTGATCGTTTATTAATTTTAATTGATATTTAACTAATGAAAGAACGTCGAATAACCATCAGGACAATTAAAGAAATTTAATTATCATTCGGAAATAATATACGCTTATTTATTGACGCAAGCTCAATTTTATTTATTTTTGACGCTTGGAATATCTAATTTGTAGATGTGATTTTTTTAATCATCGATGTTTTGTGAATCTCGACATCGATGTTGCGTGCCTATCTGACCGAGTCGCGGCTGCGCTGCACCAGACGACGAGTCGACCACTGCGGCTATTCGCTGGCGGCTTGAGGTCGTCGAGGACAATCGAGTATCCGAAGTCTTTCGTTTGTGTCTACAAAGGCTTTTTTCTGCCCAACTGCAGATGCTAGTTTTTTTCTTTTATTCTCGTTAAGGCGGCTTTACATATTCGGCATTCGCCAAGTTGCCAGCGACAGCTCGCCCAATCTCTAGCAGTTGATGTGCTCGGCGAATGTTTGCTTCCTTTGATGTGTGTAAAAGACCGATACGCGGTGGATAGGGCGAGAACCAAATGTTCGTCGCTCGCCAAATAGCAAGCAACTCATCCACACCACTTACGATTCGGCGAGCGGTTGCTCGCTACTCGCCGAATACCTAATGTGTGCAGCCGTCATCTGAATCGCTCTTGAATAGCGTATCGTCGAAGGCAGGGGCGCTTCCGGAGGGGTGGAGTTCACGGGACTTCCACTCACCCCTCAGTAGCCACAAACCATATTTGCCCGTATAGGTTTAATATTAAGATTTTCTACAGTGTCTAAAGAATT